ATTTTAGCAATCAACACAACTTGACGTAGAGACATGATTGGCTAAAAAATACAACGGTTTTTGATACATCGGAAAATCAACCAAAAATCGGAGACTGGGCGAAACGCTCAAGGTCGCAGAGGTATAGGGAATCCCATAGCGAAAGCAACGGAACGATTCTAATATCATGGGGAACTCCGTTCCCATGACAAAACTAATGAAGTTCTGCTGCGCATCATGGCCCGTTTTCTCAAAACTTCATTTTTGCACTTACCGCTCTCTACGCTTCCGCGGCAGCATACTAGGCAGTTGCTCACGAAGTTCAACTGGAATTAATAAAGATGAGTGTTGGTGCTCATTGGAAAAAGATAGGTACAGGCGTGCAGATTGCAGAATGTGCAGGATCGCCTGATCTGTGGAGGCGTAGTATAGGCAATTTGCACATCAGAGCGTGTATGTATAACGGTGTATAGCTTGAAGTATGTTGAGGATATCGAAGGCGCTACATATGTGGTGCGTGCCTCTTAATGCCACGATAGTTCTATGAAGTGTAATTCTGTCTCTGAAAACCCTGCAAGCGATTTGATATTGATAAAAATACGTACATTTACTACTTGCAAACTGATTTTTTGTAAATTAATGAAACCGCATTTGATTTAAGCAAAAATCTAATTGAATCAAGAGTTCAAGAGTCAATGTTTTCAAGAGTCTGGACTCTAGATCCAATGTTTTTTTTTTTTTTTTTTTTTTTTTTTTTTTTTTTTTTTTTTTTNTCTTAAGTAGCTCATCACGAGCACACACCCCATCTTTCCCTCAAAATTCTAGTTCCATTCAGTAGAAATTCGTCCAATTACCTGAAGAATGATGAATTTTGATCGGAAACTGGTACATATCAGTGGCGCGGCATACTTTGCGATGTATCGATTGATTTGCCATTTTAACCTATGGAAAAGGATCGATAAACAGGGTGTTCACAACGAGGTTGGCTGGGCATACTTCTCAGCACCACGTGTCGAAAACACCATGTAAGGTCTCTCAACACCTCTGTACTTTTCTCAATAAAACACCTTTGTATTTTTCTAAAAGTTGGTCATGCTTTGTGCCTGTACAATTCTCAAATTGGCGTAATTGACAACATTTTTCATGAAAAATCAACTGATCTGACCATCTAATTTTGAGCAGCGGAAACAAAAATGTCTCCAAGTTCACACTGAAAATTTGCGGCCGGGTAACGTCTGTAAATGCATCAATAAAATTGTATCACTTTTACAAAATTTTCTGGCAGAGAACCATAGCCCAGGAGGAGTTCTGGGCCTTTTTACTACGAGGTAGGTATATTCAAAACATCCAGACATAGGCGTGGCGTGCTTTGTGATGCATCGATTGATCCGTCATTTAAACCTATGGAAAAGGATCCATAGACAGATTGTTCGCAACTAACACCTTGATGATCAATTCTTTACCATAGCTTCAAATGGGAAAATATCGATGATCTATCGTTCTCGCCTCGCCACTAGTAAATGTGAGGCCATATAATAAAACCAGAGGCGGATCCAGCAATCTGGCAACACCGTATTACTTCAATTTAAACCTATGCAAAATAATCGATTCTTGTCGGAGCACCTAGCAATCGATACATTTCCATAGGTTTAAATTGAGAAAAGACAATGTTGCCAATTTGCTGTATCCGCCAATGCCCATGACCTCCGATATCCTGTCTCACAGGGCTTCTTCAATTCAATAACTTAAACCTTGGAGGCCCTTAAGAAACATTCTCTCGACGTCCCAACACTGGTATTCAGGGATTCACTATACTAAAAGTATAGCCAAAGGGTCCATGGGAATCGTCTTATTTAAGGCCCGCAAAACGAAGATTTCATATTACCGAAATTTCAGTTGAGGTTCTCAGATTCCAGCATTCATTGAGGAGCAATATCAGAAAATGTAAGGGTCCCATGACATTCCTAATGGACCACTGGACAAGGTATGAATTTCAGCATTCTGATTCATGTTTCTTAATTAAAATTTCTCGTAAAACACGATGCGCACACAACAAAAATTACCGATATATCAAGAATCGATACATTTCCATCGGTTAAAATGGAGGAAATGAATCGTTGCCAAATTGCTGTATCCGCCAATGACCAAAACGACCATGATCCTCGGCTCACAGATTTTAATTTAGGTATCATTTAAATTTTAGTAAGAATAAACCAATAATGTTGTTCGATTAATCAAACTGAAGTGATTCGTGTATTTGTCGATTTTCTATTATCATATTTTGTTTCAGCGTTTGTTGTCTACACTGCATTGGTAGTGAACAGCTACCATAACAAGCTAGTGGAATGGACGGAAGCGCTGCGTACGGAGGCAGATCAGGCCGAGGAATTGAGAAAGGAAAATATTGTTTAGATTTCTTTTTTCAAAATCATATCCTCGTTACTTTTTCATTTTCATTTTAGTTCAGAACAATGGAGAAATCAAAACAGCCTACCAAATAATTGACTATTTTTTTTATTTTTTCATTTTTAAGGCAATCGTGCTTTTTTTTACTCAAGAAAAATTTGAATGAGTTTATTTTAAAATTGACCCATTGACGAATAAATATATGATTAATGATTATACTTTAAGCTAAAGATATAATTTTTACTCACAACTCTATAAGGATGTCAAACATTAAATTTAATGAAGCTACGTAATAAATTTCAATTTTTTTAAAGAAACATTACGAAAATCTCTTTATGACATACATTCCTCGATTTTATATTTTATACTTACAAATTCCTCAATCATGTCCTAAAATGTATTCTGATCTTCTTTATTTTGTTTCCTATTTGACATAATGATTTACGAGGAAAGTTACTTGTTGCTAATGCTGATTTTCTTGCATTTAAATTCATTAAAAATATCTATTTAAGGTGAGAAGAATCGATTGTTTATCATGCATTTGAATGGGGGGGAAACAGTGTTGCCAAATTTCAAAAATCGCGACTGTTTTCTGGTATAGATGAGTTAAAAACGCCTGGGATAATAATCTACTGGATTAGCGACCTGCATCATGCTGGGCAACAAATTCAATTTTTGCTTTTTATTGAAATACAAGAGAATAAGTTACTTTCAATGGTGACTGTGACGATATGGAGTGGAAAGTTAGACACATTTGTCCAAGCAAAGGCAACAAAAATTGGACGGAGTTAAACAGAAAGGAACCAAGCCACATCTGGATCGAACCGAGGAAAAGAGGTTTAAAGTTTGGCTCCTGCATAAGACTCAATGTAAAAGATAAAATTCAAGTTCAATTTCTGCAAAATTTGCTCCAACAAAAACTTTGAATTTTTGGCGATAGATAGTAGAGCAGTGGTTGAGTTCAAAACCACTCATAACCCAATTTTTTCCAAAATGTGGGTTGGTTCCTTTCTGCTTAACTTAGTCCAATTGTCTTTATGATATAAAAGTTAAAAAGTTTCGAGAATTTTAAGTTTTAATATATGCGCAAGTGAGTGACTAAATTTCAATCTTCTAACTTTTTTATAGTTCTACCTTGTGCAAACCTTTACACGTTTTTATCAAATATTATCTTTATGATGATGAAGTTTCAGACACGAAGGTAGCTTTTTCCATGAACAGTTACGAATGAAAGTAGAGTTCTGTTCCCACCTTTTTTTCCATTAAGAATACGAATCTCTTCATGGAATTCTAATTTTTTTGGAATCCGATGGGCACTCAACTATTTCAAAAAGAGTATTGTCTGCTCAAAGAGGATGGACAGCCTACAAAAATTCAAAAAGTTAAAACCGAGTCTATCACGAACATGCCGTTGCCATTTCGGGAAAAAATAAGACTTGTGCAGTTTCGAATTCAAGCAGTCGTGACTTTTTTCCCGTCATAAATTCACAGCAAAGGAATATTATGAAAGAAACAAGTCTTGAAGCTGCTCTGTCTATGTATTTTTCGAAAAAATACGATTTCGAACTCCTTCTTCGTGCTTCGAACTTGATTTTTTCCTGTTTCGGGTTGTTTCTCTTCCATAGTGGTACATAAAAATGAGATCGCTGATACCTCGATGCGTCGAGGTCTAAGATCGATCCCGTTTCACATCGAGACAAACGTATCACGAGACGTATCCCCCTCCCCCTCTAATAGACAAGGCTTGGTTTAAATCATGAATATCCTAATTTGTTTTTCAAAAACTGCACTTATGCGGCTTGTCCTCTGCGCACCAATTTTCCTCGCTCCTTTTGGGTAAAGGCGTCTCTCGCTAACGCATGAGCCCCAAAAAGCGTATATTCGTATGTAAAACAGGGCTCACATGGGAATTGAGATACGCCCTTACGTCGGTGCGGTGGCGTTTGCGGACGTGGCGTTTGCGGATTCTAAGAATCGGGTGGCGTTTGCGGATTCTCATATTTTTACGGTGGCGATTGCGGACAGGCGGAACAGGGCCGGTGGCCTTTGCGGACCAGAGAATTTCGGCGGTGGCGATTGCGGACGGAGGGGTAGGCACCTACATATGCTGCCCCCCACCCCTGCGCTGTATGTTAAAGAGAAAAATTACCGGAGAGACTCTGGATTCCTTTTCGTGGATGTAGAAAACATTAGTATTATATTAGTATAAAAACATATGAGAATTGAACGTACAGTAAATTTTTAAAAAAAGGCATATCAGAAATCGCAAGAAACTGAAAAATCGTCAGTTTCAGTCCATTTTTAGGATGAAAAACATGTTGTAAATTCTAATCCAAAATTACTGAAAGCTAAAAAATTACATACGAAAAATGGAAACACATTTTAATTTTTTGACTTTCAGTAATTTTGGACTAGAATTTACAACATGTTTTTCATCCTAAAAATGGACTGAAACTGACGATTTTTCAGTTTCTTGCGATTTCTGATATGCCTTTTTTTAAAAATTTACTGTACGTTCAATTCTCATATGTTTTTATACTAATATAATACTAATGTTTTCTACATCCACGAAAAGGAATCCAGAGTCTCTCCGGTAATTTTTCTCTTTAACATACAGCGCAGGGGTGGGGGGCAGCATATGTAGGTGCCTACCCCTCCGTCCGCAATCGCCACCGCCGAAATTCTCTGGTCCGCAAAGGCCACCGGCCCTGTTCCGCCTGTCCGCAATCGCCACCGTAAAAATATGAGAATCCGCAAACGCCACCCGATTCTTAGAATCCGCAAACGCCACGTCCGCAAACGCCACCGCACCCTTACGTCAGAGGAGCGGCGCACACTAGATCGAGTCAATTAGAAGGGCCGGACATGAAATGTTTACTAAAACTGCAAATTTTCAAGGGGTTCAAAAAGGGGGGAGGGAATTTTCAATTTTCCTGATTTCAAGGGGTGCTTATTAAAGACAATTTTTGGACGAAACCAATGAAATCATTTTTATAACCTCTAAGTTTCGTGCAAACGGTGTTATAAGCGTTTAAAGTTTCTAAATTTTGTCCGACCTCTCCTATTGACTCGATTCTTTGTGCGGCGTTTCAATCGATCTCGATCAGAGCACATAAATGGGAACGCAACTATCCACCCGCTGGGTTTGCACGCAAATGAACTAAAACGCTCAATCTTTTAGCACACTGATGACAGATTTCAAACAAAATTTTAAAAAAACAATTCTACATACATAAAAGTCGCTTTGCAGCACTCCCTCGCGCTCTACGACTCCTAACCTCCACTGCTCTCTTTCAAACCACAAATTTTGGCGCATTGAGCACCTTAAAGTCTCCGCTTCAATCCCCTCCCTCCAACCTTTCATTGGGAAAAAAATTTGTCTAACTCTACAAAAATGGTTTGGCTGAAAATTTTGCCTCCCCGGGCCGAACATGCAATCCCTCCCCCGAGACGTTCATAGATAATCCTTGTCGAATTGACAACAATGGTCCTAAAATCAAAAAGTTTTTTGCTCGTACAGAAACTCATTTACTCTCTGTGGTGATCATTATGCGTGTTAGGATTTCCATGCAACCAGAATTCCTAAAATCAAAAAGTTTTTTGCTCGTACAGAAACTCATTTACTCTCTGTGGTGATCATTATGCGTGTTAGGATTTCCATGCAACCAGAATTTTTTTTTTTTGTTCTGCGATTCTTGCGCGTCATGGACTCAGACATGAGAAAAAAATATTGCGAATTTATCGAAAAATTCTAGCGAGGAAAATATATCATTCCGATTCGTCCAACCATTTCGTGCCAGCCCTCGGAAACGCATGAAACAATCTCTTAAAATCGCGGGTCCGGTATGGTGAAAGTGTCAGCAATAGTGACCGATTATAGTTAAACTTCATATTGTATTTATTGTGTCGTAAAATGCGGTGGAAATCAAAGGAACATGCACTGATGTTCTTCATCTTTTTTTACCAGAACGTTTGGAGAGTTGTAATGGTTTGTATTTGGTGTTGAGCTCTTTTTCATTTTGTAAATTCTCCGTTGATGAACATGTATAGATTTTCCTTGGATTTGATATGCAGGGTTTCCCGCAGGATTAAGCACGAATATTGGAGTCGATTCTTTGGGTCAAAAAAATACTTTTTGCGGTAACGGGGGCCCCATTATCCTCCTAGTACCTCCTATTAATCTCTATTATCTTGAAAACGATGAGTCATAGCAAAATGTGCAAGGTACATTTTCCAATATTTTTCAATTCTGAATCCAGTCAAATCGAATGGTTCATTCGTGTTTCCGCTTACTTTCAGCTTCAGTTATTTAGTTCGTCTATCAAAGTTTATTTTTTGATGAACAGCTGATGATATCCTTGGCGTAATGAATCATTATTTATTTGTCTCTATTTGAAAATCAGTGATAGAGAGAGATGAAACGCAATAGCCCGAATGCGCACACAACGATAAAAACACAATAAATGAAAAGATGGGTTTATAAGGCTGAGAAAATAGAATAAACAAGTCATTGGTCTCAAGACAATTCATTGTCATTTCTCGCACGGTAGTGAATGATTCACTGTGACGGCGGTGATTCACTGTGAATCACCGTCGTCTGAGAAGTGACGGGATGGCATAGTCACTGAGTATAGCCTTTATGAATGGGCATTTGATTGGCCCGAAACGTCTTGGTTGTGTTTATTCTATTTTCTTAGCCTTGTAAACCCATTCGGTTTGTATTCAATGTGCTTTGATCGTTTAAAAACCAGTTTTCAATGATTTTTCCATAGTTTTCTTTGAAAAGTAACTCTTCTTTGCTCCAGCCATGTTAATGAGGAGAATGTTTTCTTTAGAGACTTTGCGGATTTCTGAAGAATTCGTCATTCCACGACATCCATGATTTCCCGAAGTTAACCGCGACAACGGCGTATATAAGTTAGGATCCGTTCAAGTGTTGAGTTAGCCATTTTGACCAAAATTCTGTTTAAAGACGCTTGAGTACGTTGATAGAGAGAGTATAGCCATGTGGCTTTGAGTTTTGATTGGCTCTTCCATCTTGAGCTTCATGCAGCTTTTAGGATCTAAAAATAGAGGACGCTGTGATTAAATGTAAATACAAAATTACTTGAAATGTAGTTTTATATGCATATCGCAACGAGAACTTTACTCAAATGCATTATTACGACGTATTACTTTCATGGCTAATCGTATGCTAGTTTCGAGAAAGCATCTTGGATGTATTAAAGTTGGCAGCAAGTTGGTTGGTGATACCGTCAAAAGTTGGCAAAGACCCCACCCCCTTCCATCCCCAAAAACTAGAACAAAGCGCCGCCATTT